AATACAACAGGTAAATGTACCCTTGATTGTATGAGCCCTCGTAACAAATTACGTATACATCCATAACACTTTTTATTTCATTAGTTCAAAGGTCTTGATTGTATGAATTAGCATTGAATACAAAAGTTTAACGACAATACTTGCTTACTCATCAGGTGAGTAAGAAACTTATACTCACCATTAATGTAGCGCATTACTAAATTAATAAGTGTCCTTACAATTAAAAATAAATAAAAAATAAACAAATCTAAGGACACTTAAAAATCTATCATATGATTTGCTCCTTTGACATGGTCAATACCAACACATAAAGAAATGAATTCATATACCACTCAAGACCCTTGTCCATCTTTCTATAAAGTTGCTGGAGAAAAAAGACAGCTGAAACTTGAAATTAAATGGGGCTCTATCTATGCATAGATGAGAAATGAGACTCCTATTGACTAGACAGTGAAACATCATGAGAACTGGAATGACCCTCCAATTTGAGAATTACCTGATGGGGGGTTGATTGCCACCCACAGGAGAGATATAGTAATTACAATCAAACATGAAAAAGAGGGAGGGGAGAGAATTATTATTTGATTCGGATTTATTTGGGTTTAATCAGATAGCTATTAAATTTTTTATTTTTTATTTTTTAAAATGTAAAGACACTTGTCAGTTTAGTAATGCGCCACATACGTGGTGAGTATAAGTTTCCTACTCACCAGTGAGTAGGCAAGTATTATCCAAAGTTTAATTTGATTATACAGTAATAAAGCAAAACAAAAGTTTGATTTGGTTATAAATTAGGAATAAGGATCCACGTATAAAGGAAATTCTTAAGGGTAAATTACACTCACACCCCCTAAGATTAGGTCATATTTCAGCTAGATAGAGATTTTGGTTTTAAATTTTACTTATATTTGAATTAGTGGTTTAGCATTTCACTTACACCCCCAAATGTTAATTTTTGGTTGGGTGAGAGTACTTTTAAAGTGTTAAATGACTATACTACTCTTTGACCAGGTGTTGACTATTATTGTGACCAAACTACCCCCAACATACAAAGCAATATCCACGTCAGCCAAATACTTTACACATAAGCCATCTTCTCTCTCCTCCAATCTCTCTCTGCACAGACCCATCCGATGTTACCAATCACCCTTTGTCACCATCAACGTTTTGATCGGCACCATTTTCTTCACCTCTAGCCTAGTAAACCAGAGGCAACAACCACAAACCCAAGAAAACCCACATCAACAACAACAACCCAGACTCCCTAGCTCGCACCCTAACCAGCGTCACCTACAGACCCAACCTATCAACCAAACTTCTTCATCCTTACCAGCGTTACCTGCAGACCTAACCCATCAACCAAATTCCAGCAGCAAGCTCTCATCAACTAATCTCCGGCCACAACACCTGTCCATCAACAGATCCAAAGAACCCAACCCATCAACCAAACTACAGATCCACAGAAGCTAACCCATTAACCAAATTCTTCATCGTTACCGGCGTCACCTACGAACCCAACCCATCAACCAAACTCCAGCCACAACACCTGTCCTGCCACCATGTAGATCCTCAACACCGCCGACTTCGTCCCCAACCTCACCCTCCACCGTCTCATCCGATCAGCCGTCGGAATCTGACCTCTCCTCCCTCCAAACTACCTTATCCAATCTCAATGCAAAAAGTAGTTCAATCGATCAGAAAAATCAACAACCATGCCGTTGATTGCTTGATTTCTCTCCGCAAAATCGTTGACTTCGCTAAGTCCTCCGACGGCTCACCGGGCAGTAGCCCGTCAGCTCTTTGTCCACAACTGGTAAGTTCATTATTGCTGAAAAATTAGCCCAAACACGAAAAATTCACCCAACTCACCGGCGTCTTCCAAGTTCATTATCATCGCCGGTGGTTTCTTCAGAGCTCTATGCCGCCGCCGCCACTTCCCTGCCGCCATTCAGATAGTGAGGTAGGGATGTGGTCGGTGTGAAAGTGAGGACATAACATGATAATTTAGAGATAACTCAGATAAGGATGAAATGAAATCAAATGGCTATCAAAATGACTGGCCATCAGTAGTACTGTCCTTTGAATCTAACAAAAATAGATTTAATTATATGTTTTGTATAATTCATTGATTGAATTTTACCAAAATTCCAATCCAAAATGTGGGTGGGTGAAATCATTGACGAGGAATCTGAAGAGGATTGGCCTGCAAGGAGAGGAGAGAGAAGGTGCTGATGTGTGTGTTTGAACGGTTAGGATTGCTAGGGACCATAAATGATGTGGTTGTCTCGGGATTACGTGTACAAATAATATACTGTATATATATACATACACAGAGGGGTCTTTTTGTCATTTAAGAGTATATATATTTTGTATTAAAAAATTGAGGGTAAAAGTGTCAATTCACAGGCAAAAAATAAATTGGGGCGTAAGTAAAAGTTAAAATCAAAATCTTCATCTAGCTGAAATATGACCTAACCTTAGGGGGTGTGAGTGTAATTTACCCAATTCTTAATGCAAAAATTCCACCAAGGTTTTTGAGAAACTCAAAAATGGTAAAATAAAATAATAATAACAAACCCCTTCCGCCAACCTGGATGTATAAAATCTCAATTAACTCTAAAGAGTTAGCTTAGTTAGAAAAGACTTTTAGTTGAAAAAAGCTTTGGTGTGGTTATGGTACCTCATGAAATATCAAGTTTCAAATCGATTATTACCAGGTGCAAACAATTTATTAGGAGCCAAACCAGCGGACATAGTCTAAGCTTTACTTCATTCGTATGAAAAGGGCCTTACACGAATTCCGTGAATTAGTCAAAATAAAGCTCCAAAGACTCGAGTTCGGGTGAGGAGAAGTTTTGCCTATATTCTTCGTTTTTTCTTCCATTTCAATCTAATTGATTTAATTTCAGACTAATAATTAAAACAGATGTATTGTTAGTTTAACAAGGTCTCAGGTTTCAACTTTTGGATCCCAAGTTTGAGCCCTAGTTCAAACAATATTTATAGTTTGCAGATTACAATGTAACCACGAGTTCAGAGGGTGCTTAATTGGAGCGATTCCGATCTCTACCAAAAAATAAATAAATAAGCTAATTGATCAAATTTGTAAAACTATTTTGTATTTTAAGTCTAGAAAATGAATTGCGATCCTTCTCAACTTTCAAAATAGAACTTTAATAGTTCAAGTTTGAAATTAGAGTCCAGTGGTGTTTGGGCCTATAGTGTTTTTCTTTTAACTTTTTTTCCCGTTAACTAATGTCTCCCAAGGCTTTACCCGACTAATTTACGGGACTCGCGACCCCTATACGGATCCGATAAAGTTCGGATTATGTCCGTTGACATGGCCTAAATGAATTGTTTTGTCCCATAGTGCTGCAATATATAAGGGTAAAGTGTAATAAATTTCCTAAACAATCAGCAAAACAAGAACACAAAACCCTCATAAATTAAGTAGTGCCCCTGAACTATTTAAAAGTGCAATTTAAGGACAAAATCAAAATTAGTTGTCACCAAGGTCACTAGAGATGTTAGATTACCAAACTACCTTTTAGAAAATGACAACGTTTGATTGCCCAAAAAAAAAAAAAAATGAACCCTGAACTATTGCCTTTTTGCAAAATAAAAATAAAAATAACCCTAAACTACAAATGGCCCCTTAAACTAATGTTTTGTTATAACTAAGGACATACCAATCACGAAAGACAATTTTACCCACTCTTATTAAATTGATCATTACTTAATAAATTATCTTTATTATCCTTGTCTAAGTATATATATTTTTTTCTTAGTTAATTAGTACTCACAAGCACACATGCCTCCACTAAGGCTTGAATCATTGATCTCCCATTGGGAAGTAAGGGTGTGATACCGCTAGGCTGGCCACTGGCCCGTTGATCTTGTCTAAATATCAATTAATTATACCATTTACCTTGAAAAAAATTCAAAGCTACCTTAATTTTATTATTTGTATCAATTTATCATAACAATGGGGAAAAAATAAAAATACAGTGTTGTAAAAAATTTATTCATTTTATAAAATGATTAACTTATTATTACAACTTTACTATTTAAAGTAAATTTTATTATACCCAATTTAAACTTCTTTACATGGAAAAAAATACTTTTTTTCATACAAAATATTAATAAAAAATAAGAAAATACTTAAATAAAAACCCTTTTTTCATATATTCATGAAAATTTAAAAACTTACTTAAACTTTAAAAAAAAAAAAAATTCTATTCAAGATTTTTATTAAAACAATCAATTTTAAGAATTAACGGTAAATTTATGCACATTTGATGTGAAAAATGTCATTAAAAAGTATAATTTTTTTCATATTTATTTTATGAAAAAAAGTATATTAAGTGTAATTCAATAAGAAATGGCATTATTGTCATTTAATAAAAAAAAATGTGATAATTCATGGGCTATTGTATACAAAATATAGTTCAGGCATTTATTTGCAAATTTGGACATAATTCAAGGGAGTTATTTACACTTTACCTTTAATATTTTAATGGTAATAAAGGTAACATTGTCATTTCAAATTATAGCCTACGCCACCGGAAAAATTAAACGAAACAGTGACACCGAGTGTTTTTTTTTTGGCCAAAAAAAAAATGATTTTTTTTTTTTTTTTTTTCGCACTTTATATATAATGAAACATTTTCCGGTCTATTTATCTTTGTTTCACAGTCGTATAAACATGTACAGTCATCAAATAAAAAATTTCACTGCTACAGCATTCTCAACACAGAAGTAGTGTATATTAACCCTGGTGGATTAATGAATCACAATCTAAACTTTGGTCAAAAGTAATGTTAAAAACATGAACCATATTCTTTTAACCCTGGTCATCTAGACTATTTTGTTGGCGGCCATGGAAAGTAAGAATCTCCCTCTCTCCAACTCTTTTAAGTTCTATATATGATAATGTAGCCCAAATTTCCTGAAGAGAGAGTGAGCTTCAAGCCAATGAAATATATATATATACCCACACGTACACACATATATAATGTATCTATAGAGAAATTACAACTGCTAGTACAACTTTGTTTACGGTAACTAACTTTAATTTCCCCCTCACACCACATATTTTGATCAACACAAATTAACATGTCTAAATACAAACTAAAAACAAAAACCAACTGATCATTCATATTATTGGTAGATGAAAGCCTTGATATGAGACATCAATTCATGTGTTCGAAGTTGAGAGAATTGAGAGTTATGTAGGACTTGAAATGCATGCCCCACACCTTTGTAAATCACCATCTCCACCTTCTTGCCTGCGTTGGCCATGGCAGCGCAGAACTCAAGGTTTCTATCCTTCAATATATCCATATCCGATATGAAAACCATTGTAGGAGGAAGTTTCAGATCACCCAACATGGGTGCACCCTTTGCGAGAGGATTGCACCATGGGTGGTCCCGGTTAGCCCCGACTGGTAACGATAAACGCCAATAGGTATCAGAAGCTGAGAGACTCAGAGCTGAGTTAGGAGGTTGAATGGCATGCTTTTCGGATTCGGTACGTGCCTCTCCTCCAAAGAAAGGTTGGATCAAAATGGTACCCTTTAGACACAATGGCTTCAAAATAGTGGAACTAAGCTGTGTAGCCACATAGTGAGCTATGTTGGCACCAGCACTGTCACCAGCTAGGAACATGCTTGACATGTTGCATTGACTTAACCACCATGTATGCTCACTACTCCCCTTCAGAGCTTGTTGTTTCACCCACACCGCAGCATTGACACCGTCCTCATAAGATGCAGGGAGACGGTTTTCAGGGGCTAAACGGTAATTTACAGACAAAACCGCGCAACCTGCTTTAGAAGCAAGGTTAGCTAGGAACTCATGGTAACAAATCCAAGAGGCTGAGCCAACACAAAATCCACCACCATGGAAGTAAATGAGCAAAGGCTGCAGCTTCCTGTGGCAGCTCGGGACATAGATTCGTGCCCATAAATTTGTCAATTTATCGATCACTATGTCCTTTGCGGTCACACCAAGCTCGGCAGCCAGTGTACTAGAGACAGTGGGGACGATTGGAGGCCTTTCGATGCGTCCATCCTTGTAAACTCTGATAAGCCCTTCAATCTCTTCAATCACAACTCCGAGATGGTGATGGTTGTTGCCTAAAAGGTCATGCCTTGGATCGAAAGAAATAGTACGTCTAGCCATACTAATTTTTTATAATAGGAATGGAATTGATTGGTATGAAGTGGTATACATGAATGTGAGTACATTAAGGCCTTCTTATATAGTGGATTGTGAAAATAGAGCCAAAGAGAATCTAAGGTTGAAAGTGGAAAGAACTGAAGCTTCCCTTTATCTAGAACAAGTGGGAAATTAGGAACTTGTCACCAAATGTAGTCAAGTTTAGACTAAGAGTGCAAATCAGAAGTCTGACTATTGCATTATCATATGAACAAAAAATTTGCAGCATCTCACCGACATAAACGAAGATCGTTATCATGTTCTTATCTGTTACAGCACTTGATGTGTACTTTCTGCAATTAGGAAATGGATAGTGATACAACTTGCTCTTGATCAATCAGCTGTCATGAATCATAATATGCCATTTCTACGATTATGTCGGTGGCTCCAGATGACCATCAAGGAGACTAGAGCCAACTTGTTTTTATGAAGTAATCAAGGAATGTTACAACTTTAATTGTCTAACAGTAGGCTAACTTTCAGTACGTTGACAATTTTTTCCTGAAAAAAGCTCACTGATTCTTCATTGGATTTACATAAGAGCTTCGTCCGTTCTAGTACTACTCGTGTCCAAGCACGCGTAACTACGGAGTTCTATGCATATATTTTGAAAGAGAGAAATTAAGTGACCTCCACTATAAAAGAAAAGGTATATATATTCAAGCATGTAGTCACATAACTATTATGGAAAAATATGTATATATTTACTTTCTCTAATGCATAAACTCTCTATCTCTCTCTATAAGGAAATGCTACTAATAGGACCACTTGCATTACCATGAAAATGGATTGTTGATTTAGAACCTAGAATGTACTAGCTTCAAGGTTCAAGTAAATTCAAATAAATGAAAAGTTACCTTTATATATTCTTAAAAAATTCGCCTATCTCCTTCATTGTTGCCTTTTGACTCTCTCTTTACAAAAGATTTCCTTCTCATGAAATAGTCCCATGAATTCTAGTCAAAACTTAATGGGTGAGTGGTCACTTGGAATCCAACTACCAGCTAAGGCAACATATTATCCCTTCAAGAAAAAGATCGGCAAATCCGGGAGATTTTGTTCTGTGTACATGCAACAGTACTAGGATTGGAATCTTTACATTCTGTCCTTTAATTCTAGATTTTGTTATTCTTCAACAAAGATTTTGAATGAAATTATTGATCCCAACTTTTCTTGGATTTCTTTAAATGTTAGGTGATAAGAGATGTGATCGAGAGATAGCTAATATGGTATATGTTGACCAGCACTAGTGATGTCTATCACTTTCAAAACACTGTTGTTAACACTGACGTAGCAACTGGTGGTAAGTCAATAGAATAAAGGGTAAACCCTAGCCATTGATACAATTAAGCACCAATTCTATGTGCTTTCTGAGTTAATTCTAAGTTTATATATATATATGCATGATATTAATTTTCAAAAAGAACTACTTTTCGTCTATATCAATACTTAAAAGTTAGTCATTTATGCAATTTTTATTTGCAATTTATCTATCTTGGAACTATATATTGATCGAGAGTAGTGATAGATGTAAAGAGGTGAAACAAAGGTTGATTATTATTTCAACCATAACCATGCTTAATTAGCTTATAAATTTTCTTCTATGTATGCTCAAATTGATTTTTTTTTTCTTCTTTTGATTAGCTAAAGACATTTTTTATATGATTTACATAATTTGATACATTCCTTCATGATTATATAAACAAATTCACATAGGTTACATAATTCTTTTTCTTTTCTTTTTTTTGGAAAGTAAAGTTAATTACCATATTTTCCATATTTTTTTTTCTTAACAAGAAGAAAAGAAATAGACAGAAAAGCTATGAATGTCATATGGCATTTAGAAATTGGTGGAGGTAAACCGCCCACAGTGCAAAAGTTGTAGTTATTTTCTTTATTTTTTATTGCATTTGGTATCAAACATCAATTCTCAAAAGAATAGCATAGGGAGTTCAACATCAATAATTATAAAATAAGTGTCTAAGTGAATGAGAATTGACGTCATCATGATATCACCCACTCACATTCTCCAACTGTGGAACTCTCAATCATTTTCCTTCTCAAAATGGGACTGTTGTTTTGTTTGGCTGTTAGTCTGTCTTAAAGGCTATTTTGGGCTGTATTGTTTGGCCGCATTGGGCTAGCCTTTGGTTGGTCCTCTTTTTTATAAAATCTGATCTTTCAAAAAAAAAAAAAAAAAACCTTGCTGGTGGCAGGCTTTAATGACAAAAACTATATCATGGGCATGAGCAAAGGGTCCCCTAAGCTGGTTGATGACCCAATTTTAATGTCTAAGAGGGAATTAATCCTCATGATAGACTTTTCTTAATTTAAAAAAAAAAAAAAAAAAACGAAAAAAAAAACGACAATATTAATATTGATTATATGAACTGTTTTTGCTATAGAGATTAGACCAACAAAATACAGTAATGCAGGTTAAACTTGCTTGTGAATTAAGATTGAAATATTTGGTAAGTCCCGTAGTAAAGATTTTATACTAATTTGCTAAATTTTCCAATATGCTTAGTCCAATGAAAAACTTTTTGGCAGGATCAGCGTACTAGTCTGCATTCACCTCACAGAGACTTACACATTAAAATAAAATTATAAAAAAAAAAAAAAAAAGGATTATTCCACAGCCTACCAACCTTAGCAAAAATGCATCTTTCAGGCCCCATCCATGTGTAAGCAAATGGTTTGAAGTCTCTACTGTGCAAACATTCTTCTCTTTCTTCTTCTTCTTTTTTGACCACCACCATCCATGCCTTTTTGAGAGAGAGAGAGAGAGAGAGAAATTCCCTCTCTCGTGCACCTTAATTTGACCAAATTAATTAATGGTTACCAAATGGCATTTTTCTTCTGTTGTACTACTGATTAACCATAATCTCCCATGGTTCCAATAGTAGGGCTACATAGTACTGGTTTTGCAAAGGCACCAAATATATATATATATACTAGAAATTCATACGTGCACTTGCACGTAATTAAAGCTAATAAATATAAATAAATAGATAAGTGGATTAAAAGTATTGCAAACAATTATACATTTGTTATTTAATATTGACTTAAAATCATGGTCACGAAGTTTATCATCCTTAGACATACCATGTCAATTGCTACTCGATTTCATTTCTTTATTGAATTTTTTTACATTTCGAAAATGGCTGTCTCTTTGGTCAGGTGACAAATTTTCATAACTATTTCTATAATATGCGTTTATCATGTCTATTTGAATTGTTCCACCTAATAATAGAAAATATAAAATAAATAAAGATGTTATTTTCATATGAAATCTATGTGTCTAATTGAATGGTCCACCTTGCAAACATAATCTTGTTACGTACATCTAATAATCTAATAATAGAAAATATAAAGTAAATTAAGTTGGTGTTACATATAAAATTTGTGTCTAATTAAACGGTTTACCTTACAAAGATGATGATATTTTTTCTACTTTTTCTGTATTTTATATATTCATTGAAATAAAATAAGAAAATGATTTTAACAATAAGAAATAATAAACTATTCTAGACCTTAATAAATGCTTAATATTTAATGCACAAAAAAAGTACACATAAGTCAGCATAATAGAATATTTTTATTAACTACGACATAAAAAAACTAAATTGTAAAGTATAAATTTTTCACTCACTTGTAATTTTTATCCCCTTTTATTTGAAATTAGCAGTGTACTCATCAAGGATATAAACAACTTTCTCTCCCACCTCTCTCTAACCCCGTCATCTTCTTCATCACCCTGCTTCCTTGCTCACTTCCATGGGAGTGGGGAGATGATGGCCACCTCCCATGACTATGGATGGCAACGGGGGTGGGTTTGGGCGGGTGTACCCTCCCCCGCCCCTGCAATCGTTTTAAAAAGAACAATTGTATAATCTATCTCTAGGATTAAAAAGGTACAAAGAATTAACTTTTAAAAGAACATTTTTTCTTTTTCTTTTTTTTTTTCTTTTTTTTGAGGAAAAAGGAAATTTGTCTCCAATCCAACTTCTTTGTGTTTTAGAGTGATATATATATATATATATATATATATATATATATATATATATATATATAATATTTCCTTAAAAGGGTTTAAAGTAAGGATGTGCTTTAGTTGGGCTTGGATGGTTAAAAATTAGAAGGTAAAATAGATTTTTTGTTTTTAAATATCCCGTTGACGTTTTCAGTATTTTTACTTGAACGTGATTCATACTAAAAGTTGTGTAATTATAGTATAACACGTTTTCCTAAATAAAATGACTAGTTTTCATCTAAGCAGATATAATTCAGATAAAAAACTTGTATTAGTTATCTTAAAAGACACAACTTTTAATGAATACAAGATTACTTAATATTATTAATTGAAATGTTAATTATCTTATAACATATGACTTAAAAAATATCGATTAACCATTAAAGAAGGGGAAAAAAAATATCCATGTATGAGTCCTATTGAAATGTATTTTTTTCTATTTAAAAAGAACATTTTAGAATAATTGGGATGGAGTGAATCCATTATGGAAAGCTTCAAATGATAGGAATTTCAATTGCTAACAATAATAAAGGAAAAAAAATAATCATTGTATGAATCCTACTGGAATGTAATTTTTTCAATTTAAAAACAATAGTTTGAAGTAATTGGGAGAGTGAATAAACAATTAAAAGGGGAGGGAAAAAAAAAACCATGGTATGAATTTTCTATTTAAGAATAATACTGAAAATACTGTTTAATTTTCAGAATAAGAAATCTTCGAAAAATAAATCAAAGCACAATCTTTTTCTAATTTAAAGTGACCGACTAAATAATTAATCAAACTGGAAACAGTTTATGCAAATAGAACTATTACTTAGTTATTCTAAACACAACAGTAACCTATTAAAAGAAACAATCAATCAATTATGTTTTATAAGTGCAATAAAATATATATTCAATAAAGTAAACAATCAGATATACTGCAACAATCAAAATCAAGTAGATAAGCAAACCAAAA